ATTAATTTATTTTAATTATTTATGGGGCATTTTTAATTGTTGATGGGGTTTTTGATTTTAACTGGGAGCCGCCTAGAGTCACCCTTGGGGGGGGGAGATGGGTGGCATACAAATTTAATAAATACATACATACATACATACATACATACATACATACATACATACCATGCTCTCCAATAGTCCAATTCCCATATGCACTTTTCTGATTAATCCTCTTCTCTTAGGACTCCTATAATTGAGCAGCAAAAATCTAGACAATCACTAGATGGCAGCAAAGAGTTTAGCTTTGCTGCTATTTCATGGTTGTCCAAATTTTTGCAGCCTAGATATGGCAACCCTATCTATTCTGCTTTCCTTCTGTTTAGCTTTTGACTGTTACGTCTTTCAGTGAATGGGATATCAGTTAGCTGCATATAGTCATAGAACCATGACTATATGCAGCGAATCCGTTATCCTTAATTAGGGTCAGGTTAATCATCAAACTGAGCCCTGTTTGGTTTAATTGTGGATATTAAATAAACTGTAATTGGTTAGGTTCATGCAGGACACTAACTCAAAGTCAGCCACACAGTGACTCAGTGCAATGTGTGAGTTCAGCTCACCTAGATAAGGTATATTCTGGCTTCATACAGTGTACTGAACCATCATGTGATCTGCTTGATTCTTGCTCAGTGTGGTATGAGCCCCTCTGGTTAAACTGCTATGTACAGACCAGTCCATTAGGACTTGTTTAGCAAATTATGACTTAGAAATCTTTGTTTATGGTTATATGTGAACATAGCCAATTGGCAAATATGTGAAAAGCCATCTCAAACACCCTGCTAATGTAAGAATAGCACTGTTGGATCAGTTTTCACATCAACTAAATAAATGTATATGGGAAGCTCACAAGGAGGACGTTATCTATTCTGTTTCTTTCTTTTTAGAGTTGTTTTGTCACCTTTGGGTCTACCAGGGCAGTATACAAGAAATATACAAAAATAAATGATAAAATACAACATTAAAACGATACTATCCATCCTAGCCATGTTAGAAAACACTACATATTTCTAAAGCTAAATTAAAATGGTGTCTCTTTTACATCCTTTTGGAAAACAGGCAACACAGCTCAATTTTCAGAAGCCATTCTGGAGGGGGCATAAAGCCATCACTAAGCCTTCTCTTAGATCTTTGTATAGTATTTTTTAATTTAGCAAATAACAAGTGACATTTGTGTTATGCTAAGAGTAATTCTAGCAGCACAAAGTGTGATTACAACAGATAACTGTTTGTGATGTGGCTATGAATTTCAGTCCCCTGATTAAGACCCATTTTGTGGTAGACCTAGTTGGTTGTTGTCTAATGGAAGAAATTATCCTTACTAGCCAAGGTTCATCTGGCATCTGAAATGGCAATGATCTAAAAACAGTGAGAAAAGACTTCAGTTCTCCAGAGCACATAGTGATTGATCTCAAGGTGGACCTTATTGAGTAAAAGAACAACAGAGAAATTTTATTGCAGAAAGTAAAATTAATTAACAGATTAAATCTAATTTTCATGGAGTAAACAAGGATGAAGTGTGCTTGTAATATTACCTAGGCAGTCCAGTTCACCAATGCTAGAATGTCTGTGTCATGCTCAAAAACACTTCTGTGTGTAACTACTTTCAGTTATTACTGAGCAAGGTAAATGTAAAAATTATTTAATTAAACAACAGCCAAGCCTTTTCTCATCTTAACGCTGGTTCAGTGTGTGGACAAACTACATGATGACAACAATGCTTTTGGTTTTTAACACGTGATGTATGAATTCTTCAGTTTCTCAGTGACATGGCCTTTCTAAATATTACGATAATATGTTATATTGCTCTATTTTGTTCTTGGATACTGCAAAAGTTCAAGGACTAAAATATTGATAGACTTAAGCATCTGCAAACTTGATGTCTCTCTTCTCCTTGCAGATCAATGAGTTGTTTGTCAGTTTTGAAGATGTTCCGTTGGGGGCAGCATCCTTAGCCCAAGTCCACAAAGCTGTGCTACAAGATGGGAGGACGGTTGCTGTAAAGGTTCAGCATCCTAAGGTCGAAGCACAGAGTTCTAAGGATATTCTACTGATGGAGGTAAATCAGAGGCTTTCTGTAGCCACTTTAAAAATGCTCTCCATTATCCCTAAGGCAGACAGGCTGAAAAATTCAGGTTGGATCTCTTCTGGCATTATGATTCTTTTCTTTCAACGAGGATGTCTTTAGCTTGTTAAAATGTTTCAGAAAATAAGCTGCACATTTTTCAACTGCTGTGTGAAAGAGAAGTAGTGTATACTATAAGTGTGTGTGTGTGTGTGTGTATCAAATCAAATACAGAGCAGAGATGGCTTCTTGCATGTTCAAGCTGGAACTCTACACTTGCATAACATTTTATCTGAGCTTGTTATTTAAACCATAGGCAGATAACCAATAGCCAGACTTTTCTGTAACTATTTAAACCTCTCCACAATGACCTCTGATTTATCATTGCTACCATTGGGTTTTGCTAATATGCTCTGTTAATACTGCATGCCAATCCTCCCACTTGCTGGTCCTCTCTCACTATTTTCCTATTTCTCCACATTCTTCTATTTCTACTGCCCATGCTGCCGTTGTGCCTGCCGCCATTGCCAGAATATGGCATTGGTGCTGAAAAGATTGTGCATATCATGTTTAACATGTTGGGTGAATACTGTCTTTGTGATAGGTATATGTGTCTTGATTAAGACACATATACCTATCACAAAGGCAGCATTCACCCAACATGCTAAACTGTCTTGTATTTTCTTTGTTTTTGCCTCGATATGTTTTTTGAACCTGGCCAGTTTGATTTATGGGTCATGGGTTTTAGCTTGGGGGGTTGGGTGAACTCACCAAATGTGATTCATTTGATTATGTGAGCCAGTGATTCACACACAAACTTATTTAGCACCATTATTATATATCACATTTTTTGCAATAACCTGAAGAAGTCAGTTATGGAGACCATTAAGCAAGAATACAGCCCTTTCCTTTCCTCAGAGCCCATTCCACGTGACACTCAGAATCAGCCAACTGGAATCCTGGTGAGGGAGACCAAGATCTTAGAGAGTACACATATTCACCTTGGCAATTTTGTTCTTCTTAGCCCTGCATTGGCAGTGCATCAGAATTTTTGTGGACAGAAACAGGATGGATAAGTTTCCTCCAGTTTCTCTATCTAGATCTCAGTAATGCAAACTGAAGTGGCATCTTCATCATATGATCACATTTGAGAAAATGTGCTTTAAAGTATCGTTTCCATTTTGTATCATTCTATTCATCTATTTCCCATCCACCTCTCTTTTTCCAGGATGGTTCTTTCCATACTAAAGCATCCATCCTGGTGAAGTACTGCTTTCCCAGTCTCCAGGGATGGGAATTAAAATAATAATTCCATGCAATAGTTTATGTGATCCTGGATATATTTACTCTGATCCTTTTGCAAAGCCCCCCTGCAAAATTAATTAGTAGCTTCTTTCTCTTAACTTCTGTTACTGCTTCTTATTCAGCAAGATTACTGAATCTTATTACCGATGCATTTTTTCTTTCTTTCCCAATAATTAATCAGTTTCCTATATTATTTTCCTCTTCTCCCTTGCTTCTTTTCTTTTAATAAACAGTGAGATTTCATTTTTGGGTTTAAAAGAGGAATTGGATAAATTCATGGAAGACAGGGCTATTATTTTGGACACTCAATGTTACCTGTGGCTGGGAGCAGCATATTGTCTAATACCATTTGCAGGGGAACAACGGTGATAAAAGTTTATGTTTCCATCTCCTGCTTAGAAGCATCTCAGAGGCATCTGCTTGCTCATTGTAGGAAGCAAAAATGTTGACTACAGTGAGCTTTAGCCTGATACAACAGGGCTGTTCTTATGTTTTTATAAAAACGTGAAAGGAAATTAGCAAGGAAAAGAATTTCTCTGCAGGAAACAGGAAAGGGCAGATTGATTAATTAGCAATAAAAGACTATTTTTAGAAGCTTCTGCTGTCATAGTGAACAATTATAGAGTAAAACCAAGAGGAAACTTCCAATTAAAGGCACATTACCCCAGTAAAACCCTGATAATGATTAACTAATCCATACTGAAAAAGCTAGCACTGGAGATCTTTAACTTCACAACATTGTAGTTCAGCAGTGGAAAGAAAAGTAGAAAGATGGTAGAACTTATATTGGATCTTGATCATGCTTTCTCAATCCTATTAAATTAAACTAAAAAAGTGATTCATTGAAAAAAAAATAGATGTGGAACAATCTATTAGGAATACCGTGTTCTTTTATTCCTCTTAAGTCAGAGACTTTTACAATTTACATCATAAACATCTTAGGTGATTTGAGACATTTCCAGTCAAAATTCATATCATGGATGGATATGCAAGGGCCATATACAAGGGAGGGGAATGGGAGAATCAAATTGACGTTTCCGTGGACACTGCTGCAGTCATATAAAGCAGTATGCTATCCAGTACATCAAATGTTTTGCATCTCTGTTACATACTGTACCTCAAATATATAATGTATGTCTCTGTCTCTGTCTCTGTATCTAGGTAATATTGTTTACATTAGGGCTACTGCAACTGGGCTGCAAAAAGGTGGATAACTACAAGATGCAGAGTTAGAATTTTTTTTTATCTCTTTGCTTTGGTTTGGTTCATAGACTGTCTTGCTCCATCTTCAAATTTGTACAATGTAGAAACTCTTTGTTAACTTAATATCATTTATTTTTGAGATTAGACTTAATAGCTGGCAATTTTTTCAAGTAGATCTGTGGAAAATGCAATATATGGATTTTTGTAAACATTGCTCCTTTAGATTGCTTTCTTGAATTCAAAACCCAAACTTTTTTTCTTACTTGGTGGCAGTTTGGAAGAAGGATTCCCAGTATTTCAGGGTCCCCCCCCCCCATGTTTGTATTTATATAATACAATCACTTCCAAAAGTGATTTGACCGGAAGTAAGAATTTTCAATTCTGCCACTTTAATTTGAGAGAGCTGATTGTCCACTTGGGTTGATTAAATGACTGCTTCCTATAGAGTAAGCAGAGAGTGCAACAGGCATATAAGATAGCCATGTTCCAGGGAACAAGCTCACAAAATACCTGAAGAGAAGTTTGTAAGGAAAATTTTGTGGCAGTTTAAGAGGGAGTCCAGAAAAAAAATTCCCTCTAACTAAAGAGTTTGTACTAATCTGAAACCCAAGAGTGAAAAAAGAAACATTAGCCTTTCTACTGATAATGCCCTAAGAAGCAAAAGTGAAAATGAATGGAGAGGTCCCTATAATTGTGATCTGCAGTGTTTGTGCCAAGTTTGCCTCCTGCCTGAAAACAACATGATATATATTTGCAGCAAATGCAAGCTCACAGTAGTCCTGAAAAAGTCAAAGGATTGGAGTAGCAAGTAGCCACACTTCAGCTGATGAAAGAAGGTTCCACAACAGAAGGCAATTGGACAGTTACTTCAGCAGAATGAAAAAGATCTTGAAAATAGTTGATTTCAAACCAAATATGAGGCAGCAGTGTGACATGACTACAAAGAAAGCAAATGCAGTTTTAGGCTGCATCAACAGAAGTATTATTTCCAAATAATGGAAAGGAATCATTCCACTATATTCAGTTTTATCCATCTCAAGCACTGTGTCCACATTTTAAGAGGGATTCAGAGAAACTGGAGTAGATTCAGGAAAGGACAACAAGGATGATTCGGGTGTAGAAACTAAGTCCTATGAAGATAGACTGAAGGAACTAGGTATATTTAGTCTTGAGAAAATCCAGTGGAGATATGATAGCACTCTTCAAATACTTGAAAGGCTATCATGTAAAAGAAGAACAAGTTATGTTCTCTCTTGTTCCAGGGTACAGGACACAGAATAATAATAATAATAATAATAATAATAATAATAATAATAATAATA